TATATATATATAATGTACTTCATATTACATAAAACATACAAAGTGTATATTTAATAAATAAAAAAGCAATATTTTTTATTTACTCGAGATTAAATTTTTCTTTACAATTTTCGTAACGAAAAAATCCCTTATATTTATAATTGAAAAAGAAGTAACGATATAAAAAACATATTTTCATCGAATTTTTTTTCTAAGTTGCAATTAAGGACTTATTGCTCTACTTAAATTTCAAGTAAGTTACATAGCATGAAAAAAAGCACGAAAATCCCTCAGGTTATTTTAAAAATCGATGCCTTCTATTATGAAGAGCTACCTTCAAATTTCAGCCCAGGCATATGTCGCTTGAATTAACCATTCTATAAATTCAGCCCGAAGTAATATCTCATTCTCTGATGATCCCTTTTTTTATTTAAGAAAAAAATGAAATCATAGGGGAAATGTGATTCCCCCCGGAAGAAGAAAAAAATAATAAGTAGTTTCAAATAGGAAAAATATTCCAATCTCCCGTTTCAGAAGGGATTATGAGTTGTTAAAAAAGAATTTGTGACACAAATCTCTCTCTCTCTTCCTCTTTACCGTTCTAAAAGAAGGGATAGAGAAAAAATAGATACGGGAGATTTGTTTGAAATGATTTTTATGTTCTTAGTTGTTATTAAAATTGTAGTGATTTTGAGAGACAGTTATCCACTAAATATGCTCTCATTTTCCTTGGAAGAAAGATTTTTTAGCTTAGTTCATTAAATACTTGAATTGAAACATTATTAAAAATGGAATCTATGGCATAATTGAGTGGTTTTTCCGTCAAATTTGTAATATGCAAATCTTCCCAACAAATCTTTAAAGTGAAACATTCATCTTGTATGAATTTTTGTATTTTGTTTCGCATTCAAAATCGTGCGTGTTTTTAAATGGAATACACATCATTTATGAGATTAAATGATTTAAAATGAATCAAAATTTCAAAAAAAAAAGACAATCTCGCATCAGTTGAAAATATTTTGTATTCTCTTTTTCGTTATAAAAATTAAATACTGCCGAACTCGTCATAGCTTATGCGATACATTGTAAAAAATTTTGACTCACGGTTGCGACAGATTTCGATATTGAGGAAACTAATAATTTTTACAATGCGTGTTGTCACATTTTTTTTACTTACTTTCTTATTTTTGTAGTTTTATTTATTTGTTGTTTCTTTGTTTACTGACAACACGTTTTTTATGCATATTAGTTTCAATTTATGAATTCATTGCAAAAACATTTCGTTTAAAAAACAAGCACATTTTTAGTAGTAATATAGTTGCACAGATTCTTTCAAACAGTAGTTATTTTGTCAATTTTAAATTACTTTTGCATGAGGACTACAATTTTGTACTTAAAATCGTACTTGGTATTTTTTCTTCAGTGTATAAATAGTGAGATATCTTGCAGATCATATAAGAATATAGTGCTTGAAAATGTATCTGATTTCAAATAAGGTATAATTATTCTAAAGCTTAATTTTATTTATATTTTTTAGCAGACTTGCACAGTTTTGAACTATTATAATCAGAACACTATAAATTTTAACCTCAATGAAATTATGCTTACTTGGTTATATGCAACTAACGCAGTATATATAATGATTTAAAAAACAACTATCACATAAAATTTATAATTTTTAAACATTCATTTCATTTATCACTTTTAAAAATATTATTTGCTGTTAAAAAATTTCATCATATAAAAAGTTTAATTAATAAGTATTGAAAAATACAATTGTAAATGTCTGTTTAAGAAAACATAACTGACAAAAGTTAAATAAAATAAAAGTTAAAAATACCAAAGTTTCTTATTTCGCTAAAATTGAAATTAATTACTTCTTAGAAATGTTAAAAAGCACCCTTTCTCTTTTTCAAAAAAAAATTTAGGTCTTACAAATTATCAAAACTCAAGTGCTTCATAAATTACAGAAATTAAATAAGTAAATAATACACACGTATTTTTTGATAAAAACAAATTCAAACGACAGTTCAGCATAATCATGCTCAACAGTAACAATGAAAATATTTAGCAAATGGAAGTTAAAAAAATCGTAGAATTAACTAAAATTTTGATTTTACATGTTAAAAATTTGTTTTTTTCAAGATGAATAGATAATGCAATACTTTAATAATATATTAATAATAAACAATTTCAATGAAGAGTTGCTGATTATAAACTCGCAGTATTTATTATTTTTATTTTTATTTTTTTACTTTCTTTACTCTTTCAGTTTTCGTTTTGGTCTAAATATTAACGTTAAACAAATCGCTACTTTTATTTTTATTGTTTAAACAAAAATTTTAAAAATAAAAGTGTAATAAAAGTCATTAATAATGATGTGACATTGTTCCACTTAGTTACAATTTGCAAATTGTGCACTTTTCCCAACTTAGAACAAGCTTCATTGAAATTATCAGCTTGCTAATCGCCTGCACCTGTTTGTTGGCCTCTTTGATCGACACGTGCGATTTTGTCACTGTTCGGTTTTAGTTGTAACACGCTTATGCACTGACTCTTTCGAAAATAAAATCTGGTTATAGTATTAAATTGGGCAGAAACAGGCCAGCTAAAAACTAATATTTGTTGGCAATCACAAGCTTGAGTATAAAAATCACGACGCTCCCAGTGAAATAACTTTCACGTAATGACTATTGTAGCATAACGTTAAATCCTTCCCTAATATTTTTTTCCTTGACTCTCGGAGTGGGGCCATGCCACCTTAACACTGTAGAAACTCACCATACCCCTCATACATTTTCATCCTGTTGCTCCAGCGAGGGGATAAAATATGTTTATTCCGTAACCAAACCAGATGAGATTACTGCAAGAGTTTATTCTAATTGGAAAATGTGCGCTCACAGTGCAGTTTTTTTAATCGAATATTCCTTCGAGTTTAAGAAGTGCCATGCCTTTTGATGAATTTGCCATAAATCCAGACAAACCAGCTTGCAGTCCAGGGATATAGCATCTTTTTATTTTTATTTTTGATTACCTGTTGTTCTTGATCACTCATCTTCAAAGGTAGAAATGTCAACTGAAATAAATGCACACCTCAAAGATGAAAAATAAATAAATAAAAGCTTTTTGGACTGGACACTATCTGCATCCATACTCATCTTTTTGCAGATCGTATTTTTTTTCTGATAATATTTTATATTGTTAATATAATTTTTAAAATGAGTTTTGCGAAAACACTTGCACTACCATTAAATCGCCATACTATAAGAATTCGATTTTTTTGCATGCATTAATAAATCTAAAGCAGTGAGCAATTAAAATTAACTTTTTAAAAGAAAATTTAACAATTCCTTTTGCTAAAATGTCTCTTTATTGAATTCTTACTTAATTGAATTCTTTTAAATTACAAATTACCAAAGTTAATATTTCATTTATGGCACAAGTACACATAATATTTTTTTTCATAAATATTATCTTGCACATTTTTAATCTTTTACACAAAGTGCTTTGACAACTGATTAGCACAGTCTGCATTGTTTTGTAAGAAAATACAAAAAAATATGAAAAGACAGCTAAAAAAATACTTTTCAGGAGCAAATTCAATTTTCCAGACAATTTATTTACATTCACTAAAATTAGTTTGTATAAGACTATTTATCAAAATCTTGAAAAGGTTTGTTATTAGAAAATATTTTATATATTTGCATGTAAATAACAATTTTTAAACTCTAGCAAAATCAAATGTAAACAATACTACGCAAACTAATCAACTCAAAGAGCATTAAAAATACGAGACTTTTGACTTTATTTTGAAAAAGTGTGCATATGTGTACTAAGCCAAATTAAAATGTTACATTAACTTGTCAAACATCTGTCTAATTTTTTTTTCTAATGGCGAAAAATATAAAATCATTTTCTCCCAATAAATCATCGAACTTGTTCCAAGAACAAGTTCGCACTTATGTTCACCTCAATCAATTTATGTAGTTTGATAAAATGTTTTGCTCCAATCGATAAGAATTTTCATGTCGAGGGCGAGGAAAAACACTGGAAGGGGATGACTTGCACTTAGCACCATATGGCAGCAGGGTAATAGGTTCGCTTCCAGTTAGGAAGACAAGAACATTACCCTCGTGTTATGAGGCGAAGCATAAAATTTTCATATTTTGGCATAAGAATATCTTCCAGTCAAGGACAGAAAATCGAACAAACTTTTTTACACCTAGAGTCTCATTAATGAAATATCGAACTACTTCAGCTGAAAAAAGAAAGAAAAAAAACCAAAGCAAATACTTTGTTTGCTTTTTTCTCTGTAAAAAAGTATATGTATATATATAAAATCGATTC